GGAATTAATGGGTTTTAAACAGATGAGTGGTATACTTAGTTCTGTATATTCTGTGCTTAAAATCATTTTTATGTAACGTGAGAATGGGCGTGGATGTAAGGTCTGAAGTAAGGGAGGACAATTAGAAGACCAGTGAAGTAATACATGTAAGTGCAATCTAACAACAGCTCAAAAAGGGGCAGCGGTAATAGGAATGGAGAAGGGACTTGAGAAAAACATTCTGCGGTCAATGTGACAGGATTTGTTACTGGTTAGCTTTCAGTGAGAACGGGAAAAAAAGACTACAGTGATGATACATACATAGATGGCTTTTGGCTTTGATGAGTGATGATATGGTTGGTATCACCAGCCCAAAGAAGAAATATATGGAGAAAAAAAACTCTGGGTCCTGGGAAGTATAAGATGTAGCTCATTATAAAATAAGTATTTATGTTATTTCATCTTGTTCTCTTCCTTTTGGAGCAAGAACATATGGCATCCTGTTGCAGTCTAACTCTTGGCTGTCTCTGTATGCACTCTGACAAGCCTGAAGTATATACAGTAGCACCCTGACTGCCTGCATTGTGAACAACATGTAACGGTGGAAATAATCTGTACTTAAGAATCCATTCTGTGTTAAATCTATATGGATGTTATTGTTAGCCACATTTTTAAACTTTTTATTCCGAGATATTTCTAGATTCACAAGTAGTTTTAGGAAATAGTACAGAATGATCCCAGGCACTTTTAACACATTTCCCCCAATGTAGCATCTTGTAAAACTGTAGTACATTATCACAACCAGAATACTGACATTGATACGGTGAAGAGCAGAACATTTCCATCAGAAGAATCCCTCATGTTGTCCTTTTATGGCCAGAGCCGCTTTCCTCTCTCCCCTTTCTCCCTGAGCCCTAGAAACCACTAATCTGCTCTCCATTTCTATAATTTAGAATAGCAGAATCAGTAATGTTACATAAATGGAATCATAAAGTATGTAACCTTTTGGGATTAGCTTTTTTCACTCAGCATAATTCCCTGTAAATTCATCCAGTTGTTGCATGTATGAGTAGTTCTTTTCTTTTTACTGCCGTTAGTATTCATCATATGGATACTCCACATGTGTTTAAACATTTTCCTGTTGAAGGGCATCTGGGTTGTTTCCAGTTTTCAGCTATTAGAGATAAAGCTATTATGAACATTTGTATACAGATTTTGTTTGAACATTAGTATTCATTCCTCTGATATAAATGCTAAATAGTACAACTGCTGGATTATGTGATAGTTTCATATTTTGTTTTATAGGAAATTACTGAACTGTTTCCAAAGTGGCTATATCATTTTATATTCCCAACAGCAGTGTATGAGTGATAAGTTCTCCTGCATTTTCACTAACGTTTGCTATTGTCACTATTTTTTAAATTTTAGCCATTCTGATGGGCATGTAGAGATATGTCATTGTGGTTTTAATTTGCATTTACCTAATGTCTAATGATACTAAACATCTCTTCATGTGCTTATTGTATACAGCTGGTATTAATGCTTCTGTAAATTGTAAAAATCTCCAATGGAATCACCTGGGCCTGGAGAGTTTTTCTTTCCTAAGAACTTTTAAAATACATAATTTCTTTAATGGTTGTAAGACTATTCAAGTTGTCTATTTCAGTTAGTTGAGTTCAGTGGTTTGCGATTTTTGAGGAATTGTATTTCTTCTAACTTGGTGAATTTATAACCATAAAATTTTTATAGTATTCAGTTATCCTTTTAATAGCTGTAGGATCTGTAGTGATATCTCTTGTTTCATTCCTAATATTGGTAATTTGTGTGTTCTCTTTTTTTTAATCTTTGTCATTGCTAGTATAGCAAAGAATCAGCTTTTTTAAAATTGATTTTTCTCTATTTTTCTGTGTTCAGTTTTATTCTGCTTTTATATTTACTGTTTCCTTTCTTCTGCTTGCTTTAAGTTTTTTGCTTCTTTTTCTAGTTTCTTACAAGGAGGACTTTCAATTATTGGGTTGAGACCTTTAATTTTTTTCTGATATAAGCATTTAGTGTTCTCAATTTTCCTAAGCCCTACATAGCTGCATCCCACATATTTTGATATGTTGTATTTTCATTTGTGTTACATTATTATTTATTTCTCCTTGTATTAATTTTTTTTCACTTTTTTGGGGATTTCAGATTTTGTTTGACTCAGGAGCTATTTAGATGTATGTTGTTTAATTTCCAGGTGTTTGGATTTTTTTGTTGTTGTCGTCTTCCTGAAATGTATTGCTAGCTCAATTACATTATTGTTAGAGAACATACTCAGTATAATTTCAGTTCTTTTACGTTTATTGAGGTTTGTTTTATGGCCCAGGATTTGGTCTAGCTTGGTGAATGTCCTATAGGAACCAGGAAAAAAAAGTGTGTATTGTGCTTTTCTAGGTGGAGTGTTGTATATATGTCATTTAGATCCTGTTAGTTGCTCATGTTCTTTTATATCCTTGCCGACTTTTCTCTCTAGGAGTTTTATCAGTTGCTGAATGTGGGATGTTGAAATCCTCAACTATAATTATGCATTTGTCTGTTTCTCTTTTCAGCCTAATTTGACTTCATGTATCTTTTAGCTCTGTTATTTTGGTGTGTTCACCTGGCAGATTGATCTTTTTGTCTTCATTCATTGTCTCTCTTTTCTCTAGTAATTTTCTTTGTTCTGACATATATTTTGACTAATACTAATATAGCCAGTCTTTTAAAATAATTGCCTGGTGTATCTTTTGTCAACCTTTCACTCTCAACCTAGCTGTGTCATCCTGTTTAAAGTCTTTTTTGTGTGTGTGGAGAGCATATTATTTCTTCAGTCCACCCTGCCAATCTTATAATTTTAAATGGTATATTTAGGCTATTACATTGAAGGTAATTATTGATATTTTTTATTTAATTTTTATCTTTTTAGCTCCTAATTCTAGTTCCACTTTTTCTCTTATTTAGACATTGTTTTAGGATTCTCTATTTGTTTATGTGCAGTGTTTTTTAGTATATTGTTTTATGTAGCTTCCTGGTGGTGGCTCTGGGTATTACATTGTACATAGTAACTTCTCACAGTCTACTGCTATACACTTTTACCAGTTTGAACGAAGTATAGAAATTTTATTTATATTTAAGCTCTTTCCCTATTGATTTTTCTCTATTTTTCTCCACTTTAAAAATATAATTATCTTAGGTATTTCCTGTAATCCCCTAAGCACCGTATCAGATGGTGTTACAGTTTTCCTTTAACCATGAAATGTAATTTATGAAACTCATGAGAAATAAAATAGTATTTATATTCATTCCTATTTTAACCTATTCTGATCTTCCTCTTTCCTTTTTTGTAGTTCCATGCCTTATTCTGCCTTTTTTTTTTTTCTTTTATGAACTTTCTAGCCACCATTCCTTTAGGTTAAGTCAGCTGGTAACAGATGCTCTTAGTTTTCTTTAGTCTGAAAATATCATAATTTCCCTTTCCTTTCTGAAGCATATTTTCACTGAGTATAGAATTTTGGGTTGGCAGTTCCTTTGTTTCAGCACTTGAAAGGTGTGCCACTTTCTTCTGACCTCCATGGTTTCTGATTTTTCTCTCTGCTGTTCAGATTGGTAAATGATATTGATTCTCATCGTGCTTACTGATTCTGTCTTCTGTCTTCTCCGCTGTACTGCTGAGCCCATTTGGCAAGTTTTGTATTTCAGCTATTTTTCAGTTCCAGGATTTTCATTTTGCTCTTTATATCCTTTCTTTTTTTTTTGGATGAGACTCAATTTTTTGTTTGTTTCAAGCATGTTTGTAATTGCTTGTTGAAACATCTTTAAGATGGCTGTGTTAAAATTCTTGTCAGATAATACCAACATCTGATTCATCTCAGTCTTTTCTTATTCAAGCTGTAATTTTCCTGGTTCTTGGTATTACTGGTTTTTTATTGTATTATTGTTTCTTGTACATTTTGAGTATGTTATAAGACTCTGCATCTGATTTAAATCTTCCATTTTAGTACACCTTTTCTGACACCGTGCCAGCCAAGCAGGGGTGGAAAGCTAGGTTCCGTATTTGGCCTCTGCTGATAGCCTGAGAGGGAAGTGCTTTACTGCTCCTCTCTCCTGGTATCCCCTGACACAACGGAGAGAGACCCTGTTATCACTGGGCAGAAAATGAAAGCTCCAGCTCCTCACTCAGTGTTCTCTGATACCACCCCAGCAGGAATCAGTGGTAGTGTCTCTTGGTAGCCAGGCAAGGATAGAAGTTTAGTATCCTCATTCAGCCTTTGCTGACTAAGGTAGGGATGGGGCCACCGATTGTTCCCGGGTGTTTGGCAGCAGCACGGTGGTTATTGCCTCACGTTTTTCTCTTTCGAATCTATACCTTTCCTGGTTCTTTGGCTAAAAGGAAAAGACTCTTCTTGGGGAATTTTTTTTTTTTTTTGGTCTGTGGCTTTTGGCGTTTCCAACAGCTTGGGATATGTTAAGAACCCAGCCTGTGGTATCTTAAGCAAAAAAGCAAGCCAGGGAACTCATTGTCATGCCATTTCTTAGGCCTTGTAATCCCTAGCCTGCCTATCTTCTCTGTGCCTTTCAGAGTTTTATGTTTATTTTCTATGTAATATCCAGAATTTTAGCTAAACTTAGTAGAAGAATAAGATGTACATCTATTCATGGATTGAGTTTTTAAATGTATTTATTATTTTAGCTAGAATGTACTAACAGTTTTTAAAAATTATGTCAGGAAAATCTTGCAGAAGTAGTATTTGAGTGTCAAGGAAAGCAAAAACCAGCACAACCTATTGACATGGGCTCTAATGGCCAGGTTTTTAGGGATTTTCTAGAGTGGTAGAAGTAAAATTGTACCTTAGATATTTTATTTGTGGCATTTTGTATTTTAATCACCACCTTACTTTGATGAAATTAATGCCATACTGCACTGTTTTGGCTATAGAAACCTGGCGCAGTTGAGTTACAGCACAATAATTAGTTTTTGCTGTTCTAATGTACTTTTCTCTTTCCTCCAGGGCTGGTGGACTAGGCCTCAATTTTGTTGGTGCCAATGTTGTTGTATTATTTGATCCTACTTGGAATCCGGCCAATGATCTTCAAGCCATAGACAGGTATGATACTGACAACATTTAAAGTGATCTCCAAATACTTGTAATCTAAAAATGCTCTTGAACTTTTAAGGTTGCTTATACTATGACTATGATTAGAGGAAAGGGGAGAACTTGTAAAAACATACGTTTAAGGTAATCCTGACTTCTCAATCCAAAAAGCAGGCCAAAAATAGCCATTTATTTTTCATCCATCTCAGAATCCCATTAATATGACAGAAATGACCTTCAGAAGAAAGAATAAATTCCTAATACTGTGGGAAAATAGCATATTTCTGTACTAGTAGATCAGAAGTTTTGAGAAACTCCTGGAAGATAAAAAGCAAGTAGAATCTATCATCAGGACATCAGCAGAGAAATACTACAATCCTAAGTCTGCAGAAAAGAATACAGAAATTTCAAGCATGGGGTTCGTGCTACGGTATGTGGGTACAGACATAGTGCATCCATCTGGGAAGTTGTTAATGTGCTGACTGTAATACAGATTCCCCTCCCACACTCTACTCTACAGAGGGGTTGGCCATAACAGGTACTCTTTGATTAAAGCTGAAAGAATACTTTTACGAATTTTATAAATAAATGGGGAATTGGACTGCAGAAAGGTTCTTAGAATGGGTGTTGGAACCAGATTATAAAGCTACAGCCAAGCCTGAAGGACTTCCAGATCTCCCCAGGACATGAAAAGAGGCAATAGACCTGTTACCTGCATGGAAACACAGACCAGCTTTCCAGGGATTCACTTAGTCATCATTTTAATTCTGAATGGGAAATGAAGAATTACGAAACATTGTCATAAAATTAGCCTAGCAGGAAAGCAAAAGGGCAAAGATGAAAAACAGACATTTAAGGGAATAAAATTAGGATGCCAAGGGAAAATAGTACATAAAAAAACCAATTAGTTCTTAGAAATTAAAACTATTGCCAAAATAAGGTAACTCAGTAGAAGGTCTGGAAAAAAAAGGAGAGGGCTAAAGGTAGTAATTGATATGGAAGATAAAAGGAATGAATATTTTTAAACATAAAAAGTCAAGAAACAAATAGATGTGAAATATGAGTAAAGAGAAATTGAGGAAAAATCCCAGAAATCATCATATGTCTATTCCAGAAATAATGAACATAGAGACTGGAGGACAGGGGAGATAATTGATGACAGGACTGGAGAAATTTGTATTAATTTTGAAGGGATACTTAGTATGAAGCAGGAATAGCGACTGAGAGGGAGAGAAAACATACATGTTAGTAATATTTCTAAGTTTCAAAGATAAAGAGAAGGGCTAAAAGGTTCCAGAGTGAGAAACAGGGAGAGAATGGTTTGTAAAAACTGCAACAAAAAGGAAACGACACGTTATCAACAAAGAAATGAGAATCAGACTCAATTCAGCAGATCAGACTTTGAAGAACACACATTTCATCAGCATTATAGGATTCTAGGTAACAACAGACTTGTCAAGGTGAAAACATTTATATGGCTATAAGTGAAAGAAAATTATTTTGACTTGCATTTATAATCTGTGGCTAAAATTTTAAGTCTAAAAAATTACTGATAGTATGACTGAGAGGTTTTCATGCAGTTATAAAGAAAGGACTCCCTAAAATATGAAGGGATGGTATGAAAAAATTAGTAACAGTCAAGCTAAAATTTCATGTAGTTTTGATAAAATGTCAGAATAAGGCTAAAGGAGGAGTAAAATTGTGTTAGATTTTTTTCCTCCTCAGGAAAGGACCAGGATATCCTGGTCAGTTCTCAAATTGTGTGCCAAAAAATGTTTTTAAATAACAAAAAATTTAGGGGCAACTACTAAAAGAGTGAGTTATGATAGTTACCTGGTACAATTTCCAAAAACACAGATGCTCACACTCCACCCTGCAGGCATTCTGATTAAATAGATGTACAATGGGACTCAACATTTTACATTTTAAAAAACACCTCGGTTGTAGATCAGAGGATGCTATCAACAGAGTAAAAAGGCAGCCTACAGAATGGGAGAAAATATTTGCAAATCACATATCTGATAAAGTATTAATGAAAAAATGCTCATCATCACAGGTCATTAGAGAAATGCAAATCAAAACTGCATTGAGATACCATCTCACGCCAGTTAGAATGGCGATCATTAAAAAATCTGGAGACAACAGATGCTGGAGAGGTTGTGGAGAAATAGGAACACTTTTACACTGTTGGTGGGAGTGTAAATTAGTTCAATCATTGTGGAAGACAGTGTGGCGATTCCTCAAGGACATAGAAATAGAAAACTTAATGCCATTGAACTGTACTCTTAAAAATAGCTAAAATGGTAAATCATGTGATGTTTTACCGCAGTGACTTTTAAAAACCACCCAAGGTGATTACGATACAATTGGTTCTCAACTCCACTTTGAGAAACACTGGGTATCAAGTGTAAAACTTCCAAAAGAAATAAGAGCACTAAGAAAACGTAATTATTTTAGTACATGATAGGAAATGCATAGTTGTGTTGGGGAAGATAGAGGAAACTCAGAAAGCATGACAAATGGTGTCAGAAGTAAATTCAGATGTAAATATGAATATGTTAAAACTGGTTTTTGTTTTGTTTTGTTTGTTGAGACAAAGTCTCTGTCTGTCGCCCAGGCTGGAGTGCAGTGGCATGATCTTGGCTTGTTGCAACCTCTGCCTCCCAGGTTCAAGCGATTCTCATGCCTCAGCCTCCTGAGTAGCTAGGATTACAGGTGCCCGCCACCACACCTGGCTAATTTTTGTATTTCAGTAGAGATGAGATTTCACTATGTTGGCCAGGCTGGTCTCAAACTCCTGACCTCAGGTGATGCACCTGCCTTGGCCTCCCAGACTGCTGGGATTACAGGCAAGCCACCACACCTGGCAAAAACTCTTTTTAGAATGAAGGAAAAAAGAAAAATCAGGAAGATGGTAACAAAATTAAGAATGGATGGCAATGTTAATATCAAACAAATTATTAACAGAATTCAAGACAAAAGGCATTAAGCAAAACAAAGAGGGCCGCAATCCACCAGGAAGTTATAAAAGTCACTACATAAGAAAGCCAAAACACTCATACATGATGAGAAACAGATCCACAATTATGATGAGAAACTCCATCTATTAAAAAATAATAAATTAACTAGGCTAAATAAGTATGTAAATTATTTGAATAAAAGTTATCTACCATAATTTAGTAACTATATATACAGACACACCTGATTTTATTGTGCTTCGAAGATAATTGCGTTATTTACAAATTGAAGGTTTGTAGAGATCCTGAGTCATGCAAGTCTTCCTGCACCATTGTTTCAACAGCATATGTTGAAACATAATTCTCACGTTATTTCAGATTTTTTATTATCACATCTGAGATGGTGATCTGTGATCACTGATCTTTGAAGTTACTATTGTACTTGTTTGGGGGCACCATGAACCATGCCCCTATAAGACAATGAACTTAATTGGTAAATGTTGTGTGTGTTCTGACTGCTCCCCTTATTTGTCATTCCCCTGTCTCATTCCCTCTCCTTGGGCTTCCCTCTTCCCTGAGGCACAGTATTTAAATTACGACAATTAATAACCCTACAATGGCCTTTAGGTGGTCAAGTGAAAGGAAGAGTTGTGTGTTTCTCACTTTACATCAAAAGCTGAAAATGATTAAGCTTAGTGAGAAGGGCATGTTGAAAGCCAAGACAGGGCAAAAGCTAGGCTTCTTGTACCTAACAGTTAGCCAAGCTGTGAATGAAAAGGAAAAGTTCTTGAAGGAAATTAAAAGTGCTACTCCAGTGAACACATGAATGACAAGAGCACCAAACAGCTTTATTGCTGATACTAAGAAAGTTTTAGTGGTCTGGATCAAAGATCAAGCCAGCCACAGCATTCCATTAAGCCACAGCCTAATCCAGAGCAAGGCTCTAACACTCTTCAGTTATTTGAAGGCTGAGAGATGCAAGGAAGTAACAGAAGAAAAGTGCGAAGCTGCAGGGATTGGTTCGTGATGTTTAAGGAAAGCAGCCACCTCCTTAACATGAAAGTGCAAGGTGAAGCAGCAAGTGCTGATGTAGAAGCTGCAGCAAGTTACCCAGAAGATCTAGCTAAGATCGTTGTTGAAGGTACCTACATTAAACAGCAGACTTTCAATGTGAACAAAACAGCCTTGTATTGGAAGAAGATGTCATTGAGGACTGTAGTCACTAAAGAGGAGAGGTCAGTACCTGGCTTGAAAAGATAGGCTGACTCTCTTGTTAGAGACTAATACAGCTGATGACTAAGTTGAAGCCAGTACTTTACCATTCTGAAAATCTTAGGGCTTTTAAAAGTTATGCTAAATCTTCTCTGCCTGTGCTTTATAAATGGAAAAACAAAGCCTGGATGACACCATATCTCTTTACTGGATGGTTTACTGAATATTTTAATCCCACTGTTGAGACTTACTGCTCAGAAGAAAAGATTTCTTTCCAAATATTACTGCTTATTGACAATGCCCCTGGTCACCCAAATGTTCTGATGGAGATATACAATGAGATGAGTGTTGTTTATGCAGTAGCACAGCATCCATTCTGCAACCCCTGGATCAAGTTGTACTTTTGACTTTCAACTCTTACTGTTTAAGAAATATATTTTGTAAATCCATAGCTGTCATATATAATGATTTCTCTGATGGATCTGGGCAAAGTCTGTTGAAAACCTTCTGGAAAGGATTCACCCTTCTAGATGCCATTTAAGAACATTTGTGATTCATGAGAAGACGTCAAAATATTAAACAGGCGTTTGGAAGAGGTTGAATTCGAACTCTCACGGATGACTTTGAGGAGTTCAACTTTAGTAGAGGAAGTAATTCCAAATGTGGTGGAAATAGCAAGAGAACTAGAATTAGAAACAAAGCCTGAAGATGTGACTAAATTGTTGCAACCTCATGATAAAACTTTAATGGGGTTGGGCGCAGTGGCTCACACTTTGGGAGGCCAAGACAGGTGGATTACTTGAGGTCAGGAGTTTGAGACCAGCCTGGCCAACATGGTCAAAC